GCCACCTTAGGTGTACGTGGCTGGCGCCTTAGCCGGTTGAGCTATAGGCGCCGAGCCTTGCTCATTTTTCTAATGGGTTGTTTTCCTTTTTCTTGTAATCATGGTATCTCCCCGCCAGGTTAAGTATTGTTTTCCTTTTTCTCATTGATTCCCAGCAGTTATTTCTATATTCTGTATACCAGTCTTTTGTATTACAAAGACCTCGTACTCTGCGGCTTGTTTTAGTTTTTCTCCATTTTCTAGTTTATTTTGCTTCATCCCAGACCAAAAGATTCTAAAGCTCTTTAAGCTTTTTGGTTAAACAGACAAAAACCCAACTTGGATGTGTCAGAGTAAAAGCTGCTGCTCTCTCCTGTTCTACTGAATTTGTGTTCATCATTTCTGATAATGAGTCTTACCAGATATACAAATAAGAAGTACTCTTATGCTGTTTAATGTTCAGGTTCTGGCTAATAAGAAGACAAAATTCTTTGGTGGCAATTCTCTATCTATGATTGATTACCTCATCTGGCCCTGGTTTGAACGACTGGAAGCAAGCGAGTTAAATGAGTAAGCCGTATCAATGTTTGTGTATAATTTAGAAGGACTGTTGAAATAGTATTTTCCTAAACAAAAGTTAAAATATTTAATACAAGTGGTCTGAGTGGAAAAAAAAAAAACCAGACAGGAGAGTCTTGGGCTATCCAGAGCATGTCACATATGCCTACACTCATTACTTTCTATATCTAGGGTATAGGGGATTCCTGTGACATGAAGTAAAATGCTTCAAAATTTACTACTTCTGGATTGGCGCCTGTAGCTCAAGTGGCTAAGGTGCCAGCCTTATATACCAGAGCTGGCGGGTTCAAATCCAGCCCGGGCCTGCCAAACAATAATGACAACTGCAACCAAAAAATAGCTGGGCATTGTGGCGGGTGCCTGTAGTCCCAGGTACTTGGGAGGCGGAGGCAGAAGAATCACTTGAGCCCAGGAGTTGGAGCTCCTGTAAGCTGTGATACCACAGCACTCTACCCAGGGCAATAGCTTAAGGCTCTGTCTCAAAAAAAAAGAAAAGAAAAGAAAAAGAAATACTTTTAAGGAAATACGATAAAAGGTTAGAGGAAAACAAAATGGAACTGCATAGTGATCATGATGATATATGGGAGACTGATGCCATTCCAGTTGAGCTAGTCACACCTTTCATCCTTTCTGTCTCTCACAGGTGCATAGACAGTACTTCAAAACTTGGACTCTGGATGGCAGTCATGAAGGAAGATCCCACAGCATCAGCCCTCTTAATTGATGCGAAGAGCTATAAAGGTTTCATAGATCTCTACTTACAGAATAGCCCTGAGGCCTGTGACTATGGACTCTGAAGGAGGCAGGAGTTAGCAATAAAGCTATGACTGACATATTGCTTCACTAATATGAGTAATAACATTCTTTTATTTTACCAAGTGCTCTCACATCTCACTGGATCGTTTTCTCTGACTCATTTGATATCATGACCTAACCGTGGATCTTCTCAAGGCCCCCTACAGAAATGTAAATGTATTTCCTATCGCAGGATGCTCAAGTGGCTCTGATGGTTCTGTCACGGCATATGCTGAAAACCTCCAAATCATCATTTCTAGTGAAATCTGGACTAGCTTTCTAACTGCTCATAGGAAATTTCTGCTTGGATACCTTGTTACCATTTCAAGAGATGCCTTTTCAAGCTTCTTGTCTTCTGGTTTCTAAGTTGAGAAACTTGCAATTCCTCATCCTTTCCTTCCCATCACTGAATTTCACTCCCTCTCTTATTCCTATTCCGACCACTAAAGACCAGACCTACACTACTTAAAGCTATCTGACTGGGTGGCCTTCTCTTTGGTCTCCCAGACTCCAATCTCTAACCCCTTCAAATCCTTCCTACCAAATCCCATGTGCTGGGCACATGGCTGGTATTTCGTATATGTAATTTACACAATGTGTAGATCACGTCAGTCAATTCAGTACATAAGGCTGGAGAAGTAATAAGTACTATATTATGCCATCTTCCATACAGCTATGTAGCCGACTGAGTTTCTCACATCACCTTCAAGAGAAGGTAGGGCAGAATGGAGAGCATCAGATTAAGTGAGGCCTTCAGATGCTGGCAGAAAGATCTGGAGAACCCACTCAGCACACTACTCTTGCCATCAGAATTAGGGGGCCGTTGGCCCGCCCCAACAGTCTGATTCCCTCCACTTACTTTCAAGTTTGCCCGTGAGGAAAATCTCTAAATGATTAGTTCTTAAACCTAAGAGCGCTTAACAATCGCCAACGGCTCACTGCTGCATTTCTGAGTCAGCAAGTGTGGGGTGGCCCCGAAGTCTCTATTTGAGCCCCCGGCCCTGCCGTGATGCAGGTGACACGGGGGCGGCACCCCCGAGAGACAGACCGCTGACTTCACAAAGGGCTGCTGCCGCCCACCTTCGGCGGCCGCCCACGCCTTGGCTTCCGGCGGACTGCCTCTGTCGCCGTCCGCCTGCCCTGACCGCTCTGACCTGGTGGCTCCCGGCGGATTTCCAGTCGGCTGTGGAGTCTGGTGCTTGAGTTCCACGACCTAAGTTACCAGTCTTCCTCTGCCGCCAGCTACTAGCAAAAGCAAAGACCCTCCGCAACTCCGGAATCCAGGAGCATGTAACACGGCCACCTATTGGCTCAGCTCCGCGCGCTGGGCGGGCACTTCCAAAAGCTTTGAGGATTGGCTGGAACGTCGGGCACCGCGGCCAGTTGGCGGGTAGGATCGCGTACGGAGGGGCGGTCCCCGTCTGAGCCCCGCCTCTCGGCTGCGGCAGCGGCCGCTCCGGGTAGAATGTCTTCTGTCCCGAGCGCTGAGGTCCCTGGAACGTGTGTCTCTTTTCGCCCCCACCGGGTGGGTCGGGCAGGCCTGCGAACTAAACAGGCAAGAGGAGTTTGAGGTCAATTCTGAAACTTGAAATTTTCACGAATTTTGGGTTCCATGATAAGATTGCCAACTTAAAATTTTGCCTAACTCTTTCAAACGTTTGCCAGTATTCTTACATCAAAGAATTTCACAGATACAAACAAAAAAAGCACAAGGGATATAATCTAAGAATAAAGAACAGGTTTTTACACCTGTTAAATTGTTCTTACTTTTCTAATTTGGGTGGAGACAGGGGAGAACCAACCCAGATCACCAGTTCGCAGCCCCTCCTAGGGCACCGCTACTTTAGCTACGCCACGTGGTTAAGGGCACGAGTAGGCAGGAGAATTTGGTTTGGGGGTATATCTTTGTCTTTGTGAAAACTATGAAAATCTTCCCTGCTACATCCAAATAATAATAAAAATAATAACAGCTAATGTTGAATGCTTATTAGGTAACAGACACATGATAAGCATTCAATGCTTCTCATCCAATGTCTGTATTAAACCTTCCCAAACCACATGATGTATTAGTACTATTAGCTCCAAATTGCAGATGGAACATTAGGACATAGAAAGTTGGCATTTGCACAAGGTCACCTAGCTAGTAAATGCTGAAGAGGACATTCAAATCCAGCTAGAGTCTGAAAGACCATTCTAGAGATAAAAGATCACGCACGTGGTACTGCACAGTCTCTCTCTTTCTCTCCCCCCCCCCTTTTATGTGGGCATCATGCTCACAAAAACCTCAAACTCTTGGGCTCAAACGAGCCTCTTGCCTCAGCCTCTGGAGTAGCTGAGACTACAGGTGCCCACCACTATGCTCAGCTAATTTTTCTATTTTTAATAGAGACGGGGTCTTGCTCTTGCTCAGGCTGATTTCCAACTCCTGGGCTGAAGCAGTCCACCCTCCTCAGTCTCCCAGTTCCCAGGCTCAAGCAGTCCACCTGCTTCAGCCTCCCATGGTGCATGAGCCACCTAGCCTGGCCTGCATGGTTTCTTTTTATTCAACAAGTCTCTGATTGTATCTACCTTTTTCACCACATCACTATTATGCCTAAGATTTAACAGAAAGTGTTCCTTTTCCAAATTCAATCTGTTATGTTTGATTTTACAAATACTTTACTTTTGCTGATTTCAGGATCCTGAAAATTTGCTTTTGCTTTTTCAAATGTTATATCCAAATGTAAAAAATAATTGGGGAAGGGTATCCTCAGATTGTAAAGGAAAATAGGAATAGGATAGCAGAATCAAGTACTTAAAAAGAAAGCCTCCTTTGAACTCAACTTTAACTCATGGCAGGATGAAGTCCCTCCCCTGACAGCTTTAGTAATATGTCTCCAAGACATCTTCATTAGAACACAGGATTGCCTATGATCTTCACCTTCTCAAAACTAGTCCCTAATATAGGCATATTTAAGAATAGACCCTTTTGCCCCACTTATCCAACTCTTTGAACTTGGTGAACAATAACAGAGCACCCAGTAAAATAATGTTTAATTTAAATTAGGCTTATGAAATATTAAAAGGAACATCTTCCCGTTTCTGCCACTATGAGACTTGGCATGACAAAAACTTCTTGAAAAATTGCCAAATGCACAATGATGGCTGCAACCAAAAAATAGCCAGGCGTTCAGGTGGGCGCCTGTGGTCCCAGCTACTCGGGAGGCGGAGGCAGGAGACTCGCTTGAGCCCAGGAGATGGAGGTTGCTGTGAGCTATGATGCCATGGTACTCTGCCTAGGGGGACAGCTTGAAGCTCTGTCTCAAAAAAAAAAAGAAAAAAGAAAAATTGCCAAATGCAAATACTAGTCTCTCTTCACAAAATGTACTCAAATAAAGGAATTATTTCTTTGATGGCATTCTTTTCCTAGAAGGCTTAAGTCATTAATCACCCATGACCAAAGATCCTCACATTTTCAAAACAGATCCGATTATATTTCAGGTGTCTGGAAACCGATTCTGAGTAGATTTAATAAGGCCTTATTACAATTTGTTTTGTGTTGAGTGAGTTACTATAATAGAGGTGTAAACACGAAATAAAAACATAGAAGGAAACTTTGCAAAGAGGATTTCAAACACATTCTTATTGAGTCTTGAAAGGGAAATAAGGATAAACTTAAAGGTCATAATTAAATCTTTCCAGGGAAAATAATGTTTGTGGGTAAGATTAAAAACCACATTACTGAAATGTAGCCTGCAGCATTCAACCCATTCAATTGGCATTAAACTGCTAACTGGTGAAGTAAGTACTGTGAATTGAATTTTAATTCTAATGTGCTTGGCAACGCTAAATGGCAGTGCATTTCATCTTTATGGACACAAAACTGGAATGCATTATGCTATTAAAAATATATTCTTATTCAGTAGCATTTATCATTAATTTTGAAGTACACTGAACTCTTAGTATACTAATGATGTCCTGTGCCATTTGATTCAATGCAACACTCCCATCAAGTGGGTACAATTAGTGTTCTCATTTTGCAGGTGATGCAAGTGAAAGTCAAAAATGTTTGCTAGTTGCCTAAATGCCAAAGCCACATCTCAAAATCAGCCCAATTGGCTCCAGGGCCTGTTCTGAGAATCTTGACACTATATTGATTCCCTTCAGAGGAAAAACAGTTTCAATCCTTCTATCGTTGCTTCCCTAACTACACTAAATTGACTTGCATTGCAGAACTTGACTTCCCACTTACAAGTATACTTTTAATCTTTTTTGGGGGGTGGGGTTTTAGGGCAGCGCCTGTGGCTCAAAGGGGTAGGGCACCAACCCCATATGCTAGAGGGGGCGGGTTCAAACCCAGATCTGGCCAAAAATTGCCCCCGCCCCCCCAAAAAGTATACTTTTAATAAACAACATTTCCAACTCTCGGAGTTGGTTTCCTTTAATGGGTGCGAATGAGAGAAAAAAAGCACAAAATAAATTGTAATAAGGCCTCCAAATAGGTTTCCAGCCACCTGAAATCTACTCCAAATAGGTTTCCAGCCATCAGATCTGTTTTGAAAATGTGGGGATCTTTGGTCATGGGTGATTAATGACTTAAGCCTTCTAGGAAAAGAATGCTATCAAAGAGAAATACATCCTTTATGTACATCCTGATAGAAATACATCCTGTTTGGGCACAGTAGAAAGGTGGGTCCATGAATCTTCAAATTTACAAATGGAATTCCTAGTTTGGCCATTGCTAATGGAGTCATTGTAATATAGGCTAGAGATGGGTACAATATGGCCATCTGGCTAAATCTAGTCAATACTGGTTTTTGTATAGCCTGAGAACTAAGCATGGTTTTTACACTTTTAAATGGTTAAAAAATGTCAAAATACAAAATACAGTGTATGTGTGAGTGTGTTTATATATATATCCATCTATGGCTGTTTTTATACGACTAGGATAGGGTTGAGTAGTTGAGACCAGATGGCCTGAAAAGCCTAATGTATTTACTATCTGGAAAAAACGTTTGCCAACCATTGAGTCCATTGCATTTGGTACAGATTAAGGTACTGCTTGAGAGTGTTGCCAGGAGTCAAACTTCCAGGGTCTAATCCTCTTTCTTTTTTTTTTTTTTTTGAGACAGAGCCTCAAGCTGTCCCCCTGGGCAGAGTGCCGTGGCATCACAGCTCACAGCAACCTCCAACTCCTGGGCTCAAGCGAGTCTCCTGACTCTGCCTCCCAAGTAGCTGGGACCACAGGCACCCACCACAACGCCCGGCTATTTTTTGGTTGCAGCTGTCATTGCTGTTTGGCGCCCGGGCTGGGGATTCGAATCCGCCACCTTAGGTGTACGTGGCTGGTGCCTTAGCCGGTTGAGCTATAGGCGCCGAGCCAATCCTCTTTCTTCTACTTAGTAGTTCTGAGACTTTTGACAAGGGTCTAACCTTGCGCATCTCTGTTTACTCATCTTTTAAAATGGGATAATAATACAACATTCATAGGGTTTTTTTTTTCTTTAGAGACAGAGTCTCACTTTGTCGCCCTTGGTAGAGTGCTGTAGAGTCACAGCTCACAGCAACCTCTGGGTTAGGCAATTCTCTTGCCTCAGCCTTCCGAGTAGCTGGGATAGGTTTATTTTTAAGAATCATATGGGGTAATAATACACAGAAGGCACCAAATACATGCTAGTAATAAGTTATTCTGATTTTGAGATTTACATTCCTCTGTGGCCTTCCTTTTGATATATTTCTCTCAACTCCTTGAAATCTGCTTTCTTTATGTGAGAGATACATTTTTATGCCCAGAAATCTTCTATTTATCTATTTGGAGTTCTAATCTAACATGGTTTCTTGCTTCTATTTTACCATCTAAGTTTGTCCTTCTTGATCAAAATTAGCTTCCAAGTAGTAGTTATTATTCTATTACTTTATTTCCTCAAATGAAAAGGTGTCAGCGTTCTTTATTTCCTTAAATGAAAAGTTGTCAGTGTAATAAGTCAAGAACAAATTTGCCTTTTCCAACACCAAATTTCTTGCTGACATACATGTGTTCTCTATTCAGAGAACATTTATTTAAACATTTTTGCCATTCTTCAATTCTCATAAAGTGGTAACACATGACATATTTCTTTCTAAGTTTATCTCACATGAAATCACTGAATTACTTAGCAAAAAATGGAGTTGAACAGTAGCACCTGTGGCTCAGTGAATAGGGCACCAGCCCCATATACTGAGGGTGGCTGGTTCAAACCCGGCCCTGGCTAAACTGTAACAACAACAACAAAAATGAAAATGGCTTCTTTTACTTTGGGCAGCGCCTGTGGCTCAAAGAAGTAGGGCACCAGCCCCATATGCTGGAGGTAGCAGGTTCAAACCCAGCCCCGGCCAAAAACTGCAAAAAAAAAAAAAAAAGAAGTTGAGTCACTATTCTGAAGATTTTCAAAGATTCTTATTCAGTAGCAAAAAATGTTAGTACTGTTGACCAAGAAGTTCTGGATACTCCAAAGGCCAAAATACAATTAGGTTCTGGCATTTCAATGAAAGCTATTTATATTCAGCTAACATTTGTTGAGCAGCCATTCTGTGCCGTCTCATTTCCTGGAGTTATATGTCCACACTGTTATCAGCTTTAGAAGCCAAGATAAAGAGTTAGGCTTTGGGCTTTTAAAATTCTTCAACCCTACTGGCCAGTCACTTTGGGCAAGTAATTTAATTTTTCTGCGGCTGTTTTCTATTTTATAAAATAGGAGTAATACTAGTTGCCTGACTAACATGTTATGGGAAGCAACAAGAAAATTGAGTCATGTGAGAGAGACACATAATAAAAGACTTTTGTTTCCTTTATTACCTGTCAATTCCATAATATACATTTGTAAGTAATTTCCACTTCAGCTCAATCCTGGAAAATTAAAGGAATTATTTTTCGACCTGCTGAAATTCAAGATCTCAGCTTATGAGGTCAAAGCCAAGGCCAGCTACCTCCTTTATCTCATATAGATGGAAGATCTATGCAAGTATCCTCGGTATTTCTGGGCTGTTGGCAATGTGTCCTGCAGTTAGAGTCTCCTCAGAAATTTATTCTGGAGATGGGGGTAGGGAGAGTTCACAAATTGTTCTTTGCTACTACCTATCTTATTTTTCTTCAGTACCAGTTTTTCAGGGCTTGGGTAAAAGCTCACAAGTAGGGCCAAATCTAGGGTGAGGCCAGTGAGGTGTCTAGAGTGCAAAAATTTAAGGAGGCGTTCACTCTTAGGGGCATGCAATCCGAATAACTTTTTCTTTTCTATCCGTTATATTGTTGTTGTTGTTGTTGTTTGGCTGGGCACCTCAGGCATATGGGGCCAGTGCCCTACTCCTCTCCGTTTATTGTTAAGAAAGTCTGGAGCTTTTTAAGCTGTACATATTAATATATAGAAGATGTGGCCACTTGTTTTAGTGATGGAAGAGGGAGGGAGGACTCAGAATGGGAAAGAAAAAGTCATGGTTACCCTCGTCAATTTTTATTAAACTCCCTTGAAATCTAAGGGAGTTGGGGTTTAAATACCCATTCTTCACAGATTCGTGGGGGTGGGAGGAAGCCCCGCTCACATGTCTAAAGCAAGGAGTACCATTCAGATTTCTTTTTGTTTTTCCTCGCAGGCCCCTATTCTTGGGCTTCTGAGTGTGGGGCGATGTCTCCCTAGACTTAATCACCCCAGCGTCTGTCCCAGATCTTTTCCCCTCTGCCCGGCCAGAGCCCTTCATTCAAATAGGTGTTGAATTCGGGGCAGGCGGAGCGCGCCGGAGTGCGGCCTTCCCCGGAGCCTGCCTGCGTTAGCGTGGGGAGACGCCTGGAGACTATGGCCGGGGATGCGACCAAGGCTTTGGAGAAAGGTGAGTCCTCGACGGGGATCCCTGGGCTGGGGCGCCGCGTGACTGGGGATGTGGGCCCTGAAGAAGGGGCTGCCCGGCCTCGGCTGGGGGCGGGGAGGGACTTGGAGGGCTTCCTACGCCAGAGCCCAGCGTCAAGTGGGCTCTCTGGGACTTGGGAGACGGTGGGAGCGCACTTCCCTCCCGGGAAGCGAGTGATCCCCTCTCCCCACTGGTAAGCAGCCTCTCTTTCCGCCCTCCCACCGCCGCCCTGCAGGAAGCTGCCCCCCAGGGCCCGTCCCGGAGGGCCTGATCCGCGTCTACAGCATGAGGTTCTGCCCCTTTTCGCACCGGACGCGCCTTGTCCTCAGGGCCAAAGGCATCAGGTGAGAAGCGGGAGCCAAGCCGGCCCTGGAGCGGGGGACATATGTAAAATCTGCGACGTTCAGCTCAGATTTCAGAAAGGGCTCCCTGTGACTTTCTTCTGAGGCAAAGACAACACATGTTTAGTAAAGAAAGAGTTTTTCTTAAGTGCAAAACTCTTTTCGGAGCCATGTCTGCACGTGACACTTCCAGGCTACCGCAGAGCAAACTGAATAATAGGCTGGTGAACCGCCTCCATCTAGGAAGAACGCATACGGAGGGCTCTGCTGGCTGCTCCAGGGAATGTAGCCTCCCACCTGCAGCCCAGGTCAACTCTGTTCTTTCTTTTCCTTTTTCTTTTTTGAGACAGAGTTTCACTTTGTCCCCCGGGTAGAGTGTCGTGGCATCATAGCTTACAGCATCCTGGGGTCAAGGAATCCTCTTGCCTCATCCTCCCAAGTAGCTGGGACTAAAGGCACCAGCCACAACATCCAGCTATTTTTAGATATGAGTCTTGCTCTTGCTCAGGCTGATCTTGAACTCCTGAGCTCAAGCCATTTGCCGGCCTCAGCCTCCCAGAGTGCTAGGATTACAGGCCTCAGCCTCCCAGAGTGCTAGGATTACAGGCGCCTGTTCTTTATTGTACTAACTGCATCCAACAGTTTCTTATTTGTTCATCTTTCCTACCTCTAGCCCGTCAACACCTCCCCCCACCCCACATGCACACATTCTATCCTCCCCTTAAATATGAGTTTTTGAGGATAAGGACTCTCTCTTTTATTCATGTCCTAGAAGGTAGTGTGGCACATAGTGAGGGCTCAAAAAATATTTGTTGAATGATCAAACAATCATTCCAAGCAATGAAATAGAAGGAATGGCCAGGAAGAAGTATCTGGAAGGTTCCTCTACACCTGACAAGTGTATACATATCCTTCCAGAAGGAATTGTAGAAGGCTAGTTTCTGCAGGTCTGGATTTGGAAGGCCAGTGACTTTGCAAGGATGTGGGTGACCTGAAGCAGCTGGCATCCAAGCTGAAGCTGAGAATGTCACTGCAGGCTTCTGACTCTCCTCTTGAAGAGTCCATCCTCAGGGTGACTTCAGAGTCCAGACTGATGTCAGAGAAATACAAATAGAGATATGTTTTAAATAAAATTATATAATTCTACCTTGTTAAGTGTGTATAGGGCATATATTTCCAGATTCTTCCCTTTTGTTCTGATCAAGCTGGCCCTAAGGTTACTTGTTTTTGAGAAAAATAACAATAACTGGATGTTTTGCCCATTTGGCAACAAACTGTCATCTGAGGAACTGATGTAGACATTTTTTAGGGCAAGATTTCTCAACTTTGGCATTACTGACATTTTGGGCCAGATAATTCTTTCCTGTGGCAGAGCCATGGGTGCTGTCCTACGCCTTGCTGGATACTTAGCAGTATCTCTGTCCGTACCTGTTAGATAGCCAGAAAAGTCAACCACCACTCCTAGTTATCACAACCAAAAAACATCTCCAGACATTGCCATATGTCCTTTGTGGAGGAAGCCAAGAAACACTTCTGGATGACATCACCCCTTTAGGTTTTAAGACAAGTTTCTACACTGAGCAAAGAATGTTCCTGTTTGTCTCCTTTAACCTTTTTAAACACCCATGTGCATGTGTCTGGTAACTTTACTGTTATCTATTAACAATATTATTTCCAGAACTTCTAATAATAATGGTTAAGAAGAATAAAAAAGTTATGACATGCTATGTATTAGACACTACCCTAAACACTTTATATATATTCATTTATTTCATCATTACAATGATGGTAAGCGATGGGTACAATTCTTAGCCCCCCTTTTACAATTAAGGATCCTCCCTGAACACAGAGAGGTTAACGCTTTGGCTATGATTCCAAGCTAGACACTCTGATGCCAGAACATGTGCTCTTAACTGTTAACATTTACCATGTTCTTTTGGTTCCTCTTTTTTTTTTTTT